AGACTACCCAGCCTGCTGAACTGCCTTCCACATGTCTCGCATCTGTACGACTTCTCACCTGTGTGAGTCTGCATATGAGTCTTCAGATGACTCAGCCGACTGTAGGTTTTGTTACAATCCTCACACCTGTACGGTTGCTCACCTGTGTGAGTCCGCATGTGTCTCTTTAGATTACTCAGCAGACTAAAGCCTTTGTTACATTCGTCACACCGGTAAGCTTTCTCTCCTGTATGAGTTAGCAAGTGTCGCTTCAACTCACTCAGGTAGCGAAACTCCTTGCCACACTCGCCGCACTTGTGGGTACGCGGAGAATCCTGCTTTCCACCTCCACTCTCTACTTTCTCTTGTTTCAGTTGAGATTCAGCTCTGGTCGCCATGTTGGTCAAACTGCTGATCCTAAAGGAATAACATACAATTCAATGTGTCAAATGAATGGAATTCACAATCGCGTATATTGTAGGCACACTGACAAATGAGTAAATTTTAAACTGTTTTGGTTAATAAACGCAATTGCAAGTTGCGAATGCTTTGCATGATGGCAGAGTTTTTAAAGGACAGGAAAGGAGCAGGGAAACATTGTAACAAGGACGTCAAAATGTGTTCTCTGCCATCGGATTAACAATAGGTTACTGGGCCTGGTTCTATGCAGACACATACACGTCTCCAAATACAGTTTGGTATGCTAATAATCAAAGAAAAAAAGTCCGTTTACAATTGTAAAAGTCCGTTTCCAATGCAACCTACAACAAGATGTCAAAAGGTCGTCGTCACAGACGAATGGATACAGAAAACCAAAATCATAGTCGGCACTTACCAAGATGCACGGACGCTCCAAAGTACTGCACGATGTTTTCACGACGACACAGATCCTCACGGCTGCAGAGTCAGTACTGACAGAAACATAGCAGTCAGGGACGCGTTTATATAGGGACTGAGTGGGTGGATAAAACCGGTCTTTGATTACGGAACAAAGGAATGCACCATGCTGATTTGCATGGAGAAGAATCAGACAACATCGTTCGCAGACATAAGAGACCGACTTGGAGACTTATAATAAAGATGGTAATTAATAAACACATCAACACATTACATCTCTGAATGTATTGTTGAAACTATCATGTTACCACTCACTGTATATTATATATAAATGTCCTTGTTCTATGTCAAGGACAAAATTTCTCGTATCACGCGATTCACGACCGATTTGAAGTACCTGGTACCGCGACACAGCGAGTGTAGGTGGTCAACAAAGGTCTTACCTGTCTTTCAAAACTGCCCAGAGTTGATACAAAGCCGAAGTAAGATGGAAATCGCCTCAGATTGGAGAGAACAATGACACCACACACACGGCTCAAAAATGGCGGTTCAGGGTCAGCATAGGTCAAACCAATTGAGGGCAAAGGTTAAAGGTGACGAACCTGATTGCCCGGGCTGTGTAGTTACGGACGCCTTGTCGGATATAAGGAATTATGTCTGGCATATCTGAGAAACTGAGATGCAAAAATATGGCAAATCTCTATCTCTAGTTAACAGAACACTGGAAAAAGAAACAACTTTTTTTTTCACTTTTTTTCACTTCACATTTTACAAACAACATTAATGTGCTGCAACCGTAAACGCTAAAATCTAGTATATTTACAGATACTACAAAGAAGACTACATTTCGATGAATTGATAACAAACTTCACAAAAAGCTACGGATCTAGTATATTGACGTACTTGTACTTATACATGTAGCTAAGTTAACAGACGGACAATGACACATTACGGTTAAACGAACGGTGTCCTACCATGTAACTATTGTCTAAATACTACACTTTCGCATTTTACAAAAGACTTCTAGCACTAATCAACGGGCTATGGAGCATGCATCGATCGTGATATAAAATCACCGATTTTGTTAACGTAATAGTTGAGTCTGGAATACGCCACTGGTGTGTTACGCCGAGGGGCGGTTATACCGGCTATACAGTTACGCAGAAAGGCGGTTATACCGGCTATACAGTTACGCAGAAAGGCGGTTATACCGGCTATACATATACAGATACTACTAATAGAATACACCGTTGACAAAAAAAAAAGTTAAAATAAGTAGTCTCGTTTGTAAGACATGATATCACAAAGTAAGGACGTTTGAAACGATTCCATCCAGTAACCTTTATACATACAAAGACGTTGGCAGACTTTCGTCTGTATGAATTTTTAGGTTGGTACTCTGATGAAAGCATCTGTTGCCTTTTTAAGACATGTTCGGTTTCTCCACTCCGTGAGTCCGCACGTGTCTCTTTAAACTGCTCAGTCTGGTGAACTTTCTTCTACACTCCTCACATCTGTACGGTTTCTCGCCAGTGTGAGTCCGCATGTGTCGCTTCAGACTACCCACGTCGCTGAACTGCCTGCTGCACTCCTCACATCTGTACGGTTTCTCGCCAGTGTGAGTCCGCATGTGTTTCTTCAGACTACCCAGCTCGCTAAACTGTCTGCCACACTCTTCACATCTGTACGGTTTCTCACCCGTGTGAGTCCGCATGTGAGTCTTCAGGTTATTCAGCTCGCTGAATTGTCTGCTGCAATGCTTACACCTGTAGGGTTTCTCACCGGTGTGGGTTCTGATATGAGACCTCAGTTAGGCCAGCGTAACGAACCATCTGCTACATTCCTCACATTGATACGGTTTCTCACCTGTGTGAGTCCGCATGTGTCTCTTTAGATTGCTCAGCACACTGAAGCTTTTATTACATTCCTCACACGTGTAGGGTTTCTCACCGGTGTGGGTTCTGATATGAAACCTCAGTTGATCCAGCAGACCGAAGCACTTGCTACATTCCTCACATTGATACGGTTTCTCACCCGTGTGAGTTAGCATGTGTCTCTTCAGATGACACAGGAAGCGAAACGCCTTGCCGCACTCGCCACACTTGTGGGTGCGCGGAGAATCCTGCTTTCGATGCCTATTCTCTCTCCCTTCTTGTTTCAGGTGTGATTCAGCTCTGGTCGCCATGTTGGCCAAACGGTAACCCTGTATGAGCATTGTAAAGTATAACTTGTCATATATTTCATTGAATTGATAATCTGGAGTACGTGTAGACTCTCACCGACTATATTGACAAATGCATATGAACATGCCATTACATGCAACTGATCTGGTTCAAAGCACTCAAAACCTAAAACCTAGCCCCGTAAATAATTTCATCAGGTTGGAAGATACTTAGGGTATAGAATTTTCTTCTTACACAACCAGTAAGGTTCTCACCTGCTTACGTTTCGATGTCTATCAGACACCTTCCTCAGAGCTTCTGACTGGAGTTCTGCAACTCGCCGCTATTTAACGCCAATGTAGGTGGCGCTTTTGCGGCGAGAATGCAATCCCAAACGTGGCTGAGCTTGGAG